ATCTCACGAAATTTCAATGAACCCCGTTCTGTCCCAATATAACCCTCACCAAAATATAAAAAAGGTTATATGGGACAGAATTATTCGGTCTACATAGCTCTAGTACTATAGTCTATAGCCCGCGTACAGTTGCCGCTGGGCTATAGCATCAACAATTACGAGTGCTCGGGACCAATTATCTTACTTCAGCCAGTCAGCAGGAACTATGTATTTCCGCACGTGGAGGGGTGGGCGGGTTGTGTTGGTTGTGGACAAAAACATTGTTGTTATCAAGTAACAAATTAATAATAGTAATTTGTTCATCTTTCATGACAAAACTAATATTACAATCTTTTTTAATCACTTAATTTGTTACTTGACAACAACAATGTTTTTGTCCACAACCAATCAAACCCGCCCACCTCTCCACGTTCGGAAATACATAGTTCCTGCTGACTGGCGCTGCTGCAGCGCCGCCAGAAATGGCCGTTTGAAGTTTGCAAATCGAATGTTTGTTCACCAGAAATACCGCAAGTAGACCATTTCAACGATAGTTACAGGTTAAATTTTAGTAGATGATATAACTTAAGGCATATTCACTTCGGATAAGAGGCATTAATTGCCTACCACAGACGTTTTATAGCTGGATATAAGCACGTCTGAGTTGGTCCCGCGCATCCCTAATGGCTCGTTCTATAGCCCAGTGGCAACTGTACGCGGGCTATAGTACTAGAGCTACACTCAGCAGTGCTCGACATGCCTCTAGTACTATAGCCCGCGTTCATTAACTGCCACAGGGCTATAGAACATTTTCAGCTAGATTTTGCTGCTGCAACAGTTCCCAAAGTTCCCACGAAAAATCGTTTTACAAAACGCAAAATGATCGGGCTTTTTAACACTTATCTATCTACGTGGACATCTCACCTATCTTTTTGAACACTTTCCACAACTTTACACCATGTAGTTATGCCTTTAATAGCTTTATTCCTTACAAGTCAGCACTACTGGTTGTACAGTTTAAAATATTGTGGCGTGCGAACGTGTGACGTCACTGGTATTGTATATACATGCACCATAGCTGCCATGTGTTTTGCCTGCATATCCGGTGACGTCACGCGTTCGCACGCCACAATATTTACACACACACACACACACACACACACACACACACACACACACACACACACACACACACACACACATCTATTATATATATATAAATATATAAATATAGGCTGGTGAAAAAGGTTGAGAATGTGGGAGCCAGAAATGATGGAAGACGTGAAGGAGCAGAATATGGTTGTAGTAGAAGGGAGCTAAAAAAGAGTGAGGTAGAGAAGTATAGATAATACGGGAGATCAAAGTGAAGGAACAGGTTATGGAGGAAAATGAGGAATGGTAGTAATAGAATGGGAAAGGGTGAAATCATAGAAGCGGGAGAAGAAGGGGTTTAAAATGGGGTAGTGGTGGTGGTGCTGGTCGTCTAGAGGAAGAGGAGAGAAAGAGGAGTGGAAAGGGGATGGAGAGGTGAAAAATTGGACGAGGAGGCAAAAGGATGGTGCGTTCTTTCAGTGATCTCATGATATTTTTGCTATTTCATAGCTATGATTGACGGCCAAATAATTTACCACTATCGACTCACCTCGATACCATGCACATACCTGATTTATCAGTGTGTTAAATATTGTTTACTTTTTAAATCACCTGCAACAAAATTATTGTTCGATTTCAAAGAACAACTGTGAATCACAGAAATTTTATTTTCTGTGAATAAATATTTTATTTTCACAGAAATTTTATTTGCTCAACACTATTGCATTTATCAGATTTTTTCTCCATAAAAAAGGCTGTTTTCAGTGCATGTATTTGTATTTGAATTACATGCAATAAAGATTTATTAAATAATAAATTGATTAAATGGCTTGTTATTAGGTACTACATGGGACTGAAATAGGCAGAACGTATTCACTTTTAACACATATTTTGTGTATTATGATTGAATTGAAAATGATTCAAATTGAAAAAAAAAGAACCTTTGAATTTGACGGAAATATTTATTGTTATTCAATATAAATATAAATATAATACAAATGTGTGCTTGTGTGCTGGAGAAAGTATGTCCACGTAAACATAGAATTAATATACTGGTTAGCCTATATATATTGTCTACTTGTCTCATATTCATAGGAAATTGTATATATTCATAAAAAAGAATCAGAGTGTACGACGTAAATTGTACGATACGATACGATACTAAATGTTGCTAAATAAGTGAGCATCTCTACCTGGGAGGTAGCCATCATCGCTAATCTTCTCCGTGTATAAATACTATAATATTTGAGCCACTTTCTACTTAGTGTTAGCCTTTCATTATGTTAAAAACATAAAACGGTAAGATGAACATGGAACCAACTGCCAACGGTGGCACTTCAAACCGCGTCGTTAGGTATGTATGTAAATGCACATACACCGTTCGTTATGGTGGTGAACGATGAATCATGAATGGTGTTGACGTGTTCGTGCTGTTTCCGTAGTACCTACTGTACTACTACTAGTACAGTAGTAGTAGTACTACTACTAGTACTGTAGTTACGTAGTAGTAGTACTACTACTATAATACTAATACTAATAGTACTATAGATACAATAATGTAACCCAACAAGAGTAGAGTTACAACGCGAGCCTATTCTTTTCTTTGGGGGAGCCCCTGAGTGATTCACTCAGCATAGCTCTATAGACCGAATAATTCTGTCCCATATAACCTTTTTTATATTTTGGTGAGGGTTATATTGGGACAGAACGGGGTTCATTGAAATTTCGTGAGATCGTATGCAAAATGCATGCGCTGAGAATGTAGACCGAATAATTCTGTCCCATATAACCTTTTTTATATTTTGGTGAGGGTTATATTGGGACAGAACGGGGTTCATTGAAATTTCGTGAGATCGCATGCAAAATGCATGCGCTGCGAATGCGGCCCGTACGCCGCTATTGGCGCGAAAAAAACCCTACCGTTTCCTTCTACATGACTTTACCTTGCTACAGATATCCGCTTGCCCGCTTCATTTAACTTTCGTAAATAACATTCGCCATTTACAAACAATCAGACCAATCAGAGCGAGTCTATCTGCCCTCCTGCAGCGCCACAGATACAGGCGAGCAAGGGCTCCTTGCAAGCGAGAACCAGGCTATTGTAACACTCGCTCTGATTGGTCTGATTGTTTGTAAATGGCGAATGTTATTTACGAAAGTTAAATGAAGCGGGGTGTCTGAAAAAGAATCTTTTAAGAAGTGAATAACGATTGAAGTGAATGTATACACATATCTGTAGCAAGGTAAAGTCATGTAGAAGGAAACGGTAGGGTTTTTTTCGCGCCAATAGCGGCGTACCGGCCGCATTCGCAGTGCATGCATTTTGCATGCGATCTCACGAAATTTCAATGAACCCCGTTCTGTCCCAATATAACCCTCACCAAAATATAAAAAAGGTTATA